AGATTTGGTCACAGTGATATAAGGTCTGTCAATGATGAAGTCGTTTAGTTGTCTATAAACAAACAGATTCAATGTGACCATACAAGGTCTGTCAATGATGAAGTCATTTAGTTGTCTATAAACAAACAGATTCGTTGTAACCATACAAGGTCTGTCAATGATGAAGTCGTTTAGTTGTCTATAAACAAACATATTCACTGTAACCATACAAGGTCTGTCAATGATGAAGTTATTTAGTTGTCTATAAACAAACAGATTCACTGTAACCATACAAGGTCTGTCAGTGATGAAGCCATTTAGTTGTCTATAAACAAACAGATTCACTGTGATCATACAAGGTCTGTCAATGATGAAGTCGTTTAGTTGTCTATAAACAGATTCACTGTAACCATACAAGGTCTGTCAATGATGAAGTCATTTAATTGTATATAAACAAACAGATTCACTGTAACCATACAAGGTTTGTCAATGATGAAGTCATTTAGTTGTCTATAAACAAACAGATTCACTGTAACCATACAAGGTCTGTCAATGATGAAGTCGTTTAGTTGTCTATAAACAGGGTCACTGTAACCATACAAGGTCTCTCAATGATGAAGTCATTTAGTATTTATATATCCATTTCTAACGTAATTAGACAATTTTTTGCTCAGATTTCTTCCAGATCATTACTTGATTTATTATGAAATTTATTCAAGTAATTAACATTTTCTAAATGAAATCAATATACTGCAATGTTTTGCCATAATTATTTTTAATTGCAAATATTGAGAACGGTAATGTAATATTCCCTGAATGGAATTTTATAACAATAGTGTAATATTTCCTGAATGGAATTTTATAACAATAGTGTAATATTTCCTAAATGGAATATCTATAACAATAGTGTAATAGCTCCTAAATGGAATATCTATAACAATAGTGTAATAGCTCCTAAATGGAATTTTTCTAACAATATTGTGATATTTCCTAAATAGAATATCTATAACAGCAGTGTAATATTTCCTAGATAGTATATCTATAACAGCAGTGTAATAGTTTATAAATGGAACATTTATAACAATAGTGTAATAGTTTATAAATGGAATTTTTATAACAATAGTGTAATATTTCCTAAATGGAATCTTTATAACAATAGTGTAATATTTCCTAAATGGAATCTTTATAATAATAGTGTAATATTTCCTAAATGGAATCTTTATAATATTAGTGTAATATTTCCTAAATGGAATCTTTATAACAATAGTAATGCGCTGTAAAGCAAAATTTCAATTCACGGACGCCGAAAGCCGGAGATATATTGAAAAACCAGTAGGTTTAAAATTGTTATAAAAACATTCAGTTTAGATCCAACTCCACTTAAGAATCATCACTGAGTTACCCTGAACTAAATGTGATTTAGTGAATTGGGAACTGAGCTTAATGTAAATTCAGCTTTAAAGCCATGAATAAAATGATGCAATGCGAGTAATGTCAAGTTGCTTTGATTTGGTGTGTTTATGGAATACCAACTAATGTTTAAGCTAAACCAATCAGAATTTTGGCTTTTTTATCACTCCAAAGTTTATGAATATATTACCTTATACAGTAGTATTACAACAGATGTTCTACTGATGTTGATGCTGAGATTACTATTCAAAGATTGAATGATCATTTAAAAAAACAATTTATGTTCAAACTAAACTTATATCAACATATAGACGCTAAAATATTGCAAAAATGAAACATTCTTGGAATTTCATACATCACTAGACGAGTTGTTACCTATTGTAAAGCGTAAAGCTACACAATGGGCTATTTACACTCTGTTCACCGCGGAGAATCGAACCCCGGATTTTATCACTATAAGCCCGTAAACTTATTTCTGACCCACGAAATGTCAGTATGGTAAAAGAAATATTGTGATATGTAAAATACATTTGTTTGTTTATAAACACAGTGGGCTATCTACGTTATGACTATGCGGATATAGAACCCTGATCTTAAGCCGTATAAGCCCTCAATATTACCCCTGAGCCATCGTAAAATAGATACGTCGAAAGACGTCGTGAATCATTATCAATTACTCAGAGCTTAGAAATGGTTAAACGATATATAGTAATATTATATTATACGAGGTAGCCATTTCATCAGCAGACATTTTTATCTTTGTCTGGGGTCTGAGTCCTAATGATAGTTTATATTCAATACCTGGCTACTGACAAAGCTACCAAGAACATTCAATATTTCATCTTCTTTGCAAACGGTTTATAGGCGAATTAACGATGTTTTTCTTTTTTGTTTCTCGGGAAATAAAGGAGATTCGAGTAGATTACAACGAGTGGTAATACGGTGTAATAAAAATGAAATCGAACAAAACAGTTTGGTAATTACGAGTATGTGGTACCACCTTGTGGTGATACATCCATTTAGATTCATATATATAGTTCTCAGTCTTAGTAAGTACAACACCACCAGCCATATTCGCGTCGATACTCACGGCAGGTAGTATAAGAAAGAAACGAGTTTCGATGAGATATTTTATTCTATGTTTTTCTTCAATATAAATTATAAAACTTAAACTCTGCTTTTAAAAGGTTTTTAATATTTCTTCACTTATCAGTATCTTAAAACTTTTAGGATCGATCAAACTTCTTAAAACTTTTAGGATTAATCAAACTCCGTTAGGTTAGTTTGTTTGAGTGTGTGTGTGTGCCAAAAGATGAGTCCATACACACGCACATCGTAGTCTTTAACTAGCATGTAAGTTGTGAAGCACGTGACTTTGAGCGATCTACTTCTGATAGGTGCAGCATGCTTACTATCGATTCTTCTAAGAACTTATGATTGAAATCAAAATTTACATGTTGTGATATGTCAACCTTCCTACATCTGCCATATCAGGCCTACTGGGAAAGGACAAGCTTAATAGTGGTCCAAGCGCTAAAAAACGACTGGTGTGAACTAGAATAACTAAGAGAATTTCAAATATTATATATTTTACTTATGTAATTTACAAATCAGATTTTTAATGGAAGTATTAATAATGTATTATTATTATTTATTGATTTTATTTGTAACACCAGTTCGGCTTCCGATTCAGCGGTAAGTGTGCAGACTTATTACGTTAATAAACCGGGTTTCGATACCCGTGGTAGGCACAGCACAGATAGCCAGCCCATTCTGTAGCTTTGTGCTTAGCATCAAACTAACAAAGTAAGTAACACCGATAATTTATTTATTATTATCATTATTGTTTTATTTGAATTAATATTACTACTATTCAGAAGAACTTGCGAACTAGCAAGAGAGACTTACCTTAAGCCATTACTAACACACGTTTTACGACAATTTACAACAGATTTGTTTTGTGCATAAGATGCCAGAAAAAAAAGTTAGTTTAATTTTTTTCTCCTTTTACCCAAATTTCCAATGGATGTGTTCTTTTGTTAGGCTGGGCGTGGCCTATAGGTTAGTGTGCTTGGAACTGTGAACACTAGTACAGTTCGCGACCCACTATGCGCTTTGGAGCTTTGTTTGCGTTATAAAAGAGATAGTCAAAATCCCGTTTGTCGATTAGACAAGATTCTCCCAAGAGTTGGCGGTGTGCGCTGTTGAGTAGTTGCTTTCCCTCTCATTTATCAGGTCGAAATGATGGACGTCTAAGCACAGATAGCAATTTGTGTACCTTAAAAATGGAAAATTATTTGTTTGTTTGTCTGTTTTGGCGTGAAGCTGTACATTGAACTGTCTCCGCCAAGTATCTATAGCGGTGTTCAAAACCTGAATTCTAGCATTATAAGCCCTCAAACTTACTGCTGAACCATGGTAAAAAAAAAAAAGAAACAGAAAACATTAAATACACGAGACTGTAACATTTCCTTAATGAGGATTTTGTTGTCTTTCTTTTTTTTCTCAAGATACTTCTTTTGTTCACTTTTTAATTTTGATTTTCTTGTAGGCCGTTCATCATTTGTCTTGACCACTCCAGAAATCACTGTAAGCCAGGTGGACAGACCTGAATCATCAGAATTAGTAGTATAACTGTTTGCAAAATAACGTGTGAGGACTAAATGCACATTGGTTAATATTCCCTTTGTTAAAAAAGTTTGAACTGTTTAAGCACAGCAAGAGTTTTCAACTGACCCAAATATTTTCACTTGACAATGGTAAGTTGCTTTCTGTATTGTATTTTTTTTCGTAAATATTTGGATAACCAAAATATTGTTGTTCAGAAATGAATTAAGTTTTCTTTTTCTAAATTACAGCTGTCTCTTTAGGAGAAGACACCAATACACGTAGTGCAGAATTTCTTGTAACATTATATTATCCTATTACATTAAACATATGGAATAGGACACTCGTAAATCTAAAAATTATTGTATCACTTTGTAAACATATAAAAAGCAGCAACAAGTGTCATACGTTTTTTTCGCACTTATCTAATATTAATTCTCTCAAGGGTATTGAGATATTAAATAACAATTTTATTCGGAGAGTCTATCCCCTACCCTTTTGCAATACATACGACTATTCGGGCAAATTTTTCAGTTTTCATTCGGGCAAAATCAGAAGCAGAAAATTTTTACCTTCATTCGAGAAAACTGGTAGCCGAAGTTTCTTACTCATAACCTCATTCGGGCAAAAATTTTACATCATGTCAATGTGTGGGACCTCTAGCAAAATATCTTTGACCAAATCCCATGTAAATTGGTGAAAATA